CCTGTTAGGAATTTCATAAGGGTGTCCTTTACCATTTGCATAGCGCTGATCATGTTAACAATGAAGATCCTTTCACTGATGATGTAATATCAATATACTGTATGCCTTTATTTAATCAGAATTTGTCTTTTGAAATGCCTTGATTATTAGAACATCTTATAAGCTACTAACTGGCTTCAGTATGCCCATAATTCTGTAGCTCTTGTGTTGGCTAAAACTAAGATACATCAGCACCTCACTTACATCCTGTGTAAATTCCATTGGGTCCTAATGAATTTTAGAGTGGTGTTTAAGGATCTCCTATTTACCTATGATACGATATTGTATGCACACAGTTTGTTTTAAAGACTTATTGCATGGTTTATGTCCAAGACTTATTCTGAGGTACTATAATCCATACATTGTCACTCTACCAAAAACAAGGCACTACACATTTAAAGGCAATATAATGTACTCTTGGGCAGCAACATGTTAAATTCATTGTCCAAATAAATTAGCAACAGATTGACAGATTTACGACTGCCTCAAAGTCCTATCTTTTTACTTTATCCATTAATGTATAATTTATTTGTAATTTAATTTTATTGGGTTAATTTACTGAGCTTTACTGAGCTTTCTTTTAATGTATGTGTATATGGTGTGCACTATTGCATAACACTTGAGTTTGTTGAAAAGCATCTACCTGAAAAAATAAAGTACATTATTAATACATTAAATTTAAAAAAAATAACCTAGTTTTTCTGTTATTTAATGTCTGGTACTTGTATTTTCTGTTGTAATGTGACACCATGGACTCATATATTAAATTACATTGTCATTTGTCATTAGTCTTTAACTGAAATGAAGTTATGCACTTTGTCAAATCCTAAATTCTACTCTCCAGGCATTTTAAAAACCTTGTAAGTCATTAACGTGGAAGAATTATCACAATGGATTTGTTTGCAAACAAGACTTGGAAGAGGGCCAACCTATAAATCATTATTTTCTGGTGCATAATTTCCATGTATAATAGTTTTATTATGCTGTACATTTGCTCATCTTTGGTCATGTGTGGTTTCTATAACCTGAAAGAACAATAACCAAAATTTTAATTTAGAAAAAAAGAAGAAGCACTCAAGATGAATATGTCCCCAGGGCCTAAAGGTATTTTACCAATTACACTCAAGGAAGTGAAAGATATTAGTCAGAAGCCACTGACATACAGTACTGTAACTCTTCCAATAGTCACTCAAGGCAGGGATATTTACCATGTACTGAATAATTGCTAGTGCATTTTCCATCTATAAGAAGGGTGACAAACCTGAAATAAGTAATCATACACCAATAAGTTTGAGTTACTGTACATGTACGATTATGGAAACAATATTTAGTACGGTATGGAAAACAGATATTCGGGTTAGTCAACACAGCTTTAGAAAACATAGGTACTGCCTAAACAGCTTATTATAGTTATTTGAACAAGTAACAATAGTATTGGATATACAAAATATGATGTGGTTATTTTAGAAACATTTCTCATAAAAGATAATACTTAAATTACAGGCTCTAGGCATTCAGGGAAATGCAAATGTCAGAATTGAGAACGGTTATAAAATATAGACGATAAAGAGTACAGATAAGAGGTGAAAGCTCAGTTCAGATTCAGCTAATTAATAGAGCTCCACAGGGTTCTCTACTGGTACCAAAAATATTCCTAATTTATAGCAGCGATACAGTATAATAATTAAACATATTAAGTTTGCAAATGACAGCAAATAAAATTAAAAAGGGGATGTTTAATGGAGACAAATGCAGGGTTTTGTATGTACATATCAAAACATATACTACAAATACAAAATAGAAAACATTGAGAAGAGGTTACTTTGAGTTCATTGTTTATGGTGACACATTATTTATATCCTCAAGATTAAAATGCAAACAAAATGTTAAGATACGTTAAAATATTAGAATTGTAGAATTTAAATCAATGGGTTATGTTCAAATTCTATAATCCACCAGAAGGAATGTAGAATTTTGTACAGAATTTTGGTCACCAAATAAAAAAATACACTGTTGTTTAGGAATCAGTCCCGAGCTGAGCAACCACATACTGTACATTCTCAAGGGAATGTCCTACACAAACAGGCTAAAGGAACCTTTTCAGTCTTGAACAGAAAAGACATGATACAAGTATTCAAAATCCTCAAAGGCATCAACAAAGTCAAAACCTGCAGATTTATTCAGAATGAACAGTGAAATCTGACTCATAGGACACAAGTGGAAATTACAGGTAAGTATATTTAAAACTGAGAACAGAAAGCACTTCTTTACCCAAAGTGTTGTGGAACTATGGAACAAAGTAGATATGTTATTAAAGTCATTGCCCTGGTTACTCAAGAAATGGCTGGATGATTCAGGCATTTCTTTAGAGCAGCCATGAAGATGGACTATCTTTGGATCAATTTGTTACTATCTACCAAATGGGATAGATGGGACAGATAGGCCAATGGCCTCCTTTCATTTGCAACTGTTGATAAATAGGAAAGTTTCATATTAAATAATGTCCAAACAATAATACCCAAATCAATATTAAGTAATTGTCGAAGTCTTTTTTCCTTAATGTATTTCTAAATATTCCAAGAAAAGTATGAGTTACAAGTATTATTAAATTATTAATGTTTTTGTGAGATTCACCATTTCACAGAAATAAAAGTAAACGAATTTTAAAATCTCAAGACTAATGTGTGCCCTTATGCATATACTGTTTGTTACTAGTACTTTGTCTTCCTTTTTTCGTTAATAAACGTCTGTGCAACTCACCTAGAAGGTTGTTAAAGATATTAACAATGATTTGGGATGCTTCTTTGGCTTTCCAAATTTTTTCAAGCAGAGATGGCTATTATTCAAATGTAATTTAACTGACTCATGGTTGGAAGTTTGTATTAGAAATTATTATTGACATTTTAATGGTTCTAAATGACAGTGGACAATTTGCAATAGTTCCAGTAAATGGTGTAGCTCTAATGAATGTTAAGAAAGTACTTATTCATAAAAGAAAAAGAAAAACATTGTCTTAGAGAGTATTAAGAAGTGTAGCTCATTACCAAACTCATTTCTGTTATTTTCTGATTCTAGTCATTTCTAAATACAGTCATTGAGGAATTTATTCCTATGGATTTATTGGCATGATTAAATATGGCATAATTTTTAAAAAATAGTTAATGGTACACAAACTACAATGTCCTGTGGTCCTCAAGGACAGTGATTGAACAACTGCAATATATTCACAGAAAAATATTATTTACAACAAAACACTAAAAATATGTAAAAATATCGACACTTTAAATTGACAATATCTTTATTTCTTCTTTATTAAATCCATTCAAAAATAGACAAAACTATATTGAGCCACAAGTGTGAAGTAAAATAATTATATTATTTGAACCTTACTCTCTAAATATAATACCATACATTTATATTTTATTGGTTGTCATAAGGATAACTCTTGATTTTCATGAGGTTTAAACTTCAATGTTATTTTATATTAACACAAGGGCCCAGGGTTGAAAAAGATTAAAGCATATTTCAACTTGTACGCCTCTGACAAAAAAGGCATGTTGGACAGTACTGGTCACATATGAGAAGGCCTCTAACTGCTATAAAAATATTAAGGAGAAAGATGTATGGGAAACTGTGTTCAGTTATAAGGTCAACTCACATGATTACACAATAAGAGTCCTCTTGAATAAGTGGCAAAATGCTAAACAAACCTTTGCATTCATGTATGACCTTTTTCACATCACTGAATGTATGTTAATTCATGCAACTGGAATAAAAAAAATAAAAACATAAAAATCATATATAAATACTAAAAATTTTTTTTTAATGAACTTGGATGAACAAATCTTAAGGTAATTATCATAATGCAAATATTGTGCTGAAACATTTTTTGTTAGCTAGTTTCTTCAACACCTAATCAAAAAATAGTAGTTGATTTACAAAACTGTTCCTATGTATTGTAAAAGTACTACTTCCAAATAATGTAGTTTGAAAGGAAAAATGTAGTTTTCTTTTATATTGGAGTGCATTGTAGTCAAACAAATAATTGCAAATAAATTGCATTTTCAAAAGCTTATATCCTTCACAACAATGTGTATCCTGAAGTTAGGCATAGCCAATTGGCTAAATCATAATATTCATGAATAAGCTCTCAGTTTATCATTTTCATTATCCAGCAAATGTATAGAAGCAAGTAAAAACAAAAATAACCGATGATTCCAAATGACAAAAAGGATATTTTAGAATCTTATTGTGAAATATAACATGTAGGCATTTAAATAGTCTTCACAGACGTTGACACAGTTAAACAGATTTTCTGGAAACATTGTTCCTGTTTATCATACTCTCTTAGAAAAAAAAAAAGAGAATACAATGTCTTATATTATGTTAAACATACTTGTGAGGTTAGTTTTCTAATACTGTATATCACTTCTAAAGATAAAGTATCTATCTAAAATAGTTTAACATGTTCAATATACTGTATACTATAAATAGGGATAGATTAACCAATCTGTCATCACACATAAAATTTCCATACATCTGCTGTTTCCTCCATTTTTACTGTACTTTAAGAATAGCTGTTCAACTTGAAGTATAAATAAAATAATATCTTTATTATCTTCAGAATCCTACACAGACAGCATCTATAACTGTTTTGTTTCATTCAGAGAATACCACATTTTGATTTTGATTAAAATTCAAAATAAAAATGCATTGGAAATAGGACTAATGATCCTTCATCCATTTTCTAACTGCTATATCCAATGCAGGGTCACAGGGGAGCCGGAGCCTATCCCGGTGGGTGGAAGGTGGGATACATCCCTGGATGGGATGGTAGTCCATGGCAAGGCACACATAGACACAAACACAACAGGGTTGATTTTCCCAAAAGCCAATTAACCTATCAGTACAGTATGTCTTTGGACTGTGGGAGGAAACAGGAGAACTCAGAGGAATCCCACGTGAACATGGGGTGAAAATACAAGCTTTATGCAGATAGCACCCCAGGTCCAGAATTGAACCCAGGGTCCCAGTGCTGCAATTCTAACCACTGCACGACCATGCTGCTCTAGGGCTAATTATTATTAACATACTGTAATTGCTTTTCTTTCCTATGTGTCTATTTAGGTGAAATCACATGAGCTGACCTTAAAAGAAACACCTTGGGATGTAACTGAGATACTGTATATAACATCAGGTTTCAGAAGTAGGTTGAACATTTTGCACTTTAGACAGTGTGACAGGAATCTTACTCTCTCCAGGAGTAGGTGCTTTTGTAATTGGATGAACAGTAGCCTGCAATTCAGCTATTCTTTCTTTGAATTTTTGTTGTAGGTACCTTTCTTCCTTTGAATAACTTTTGGCAAAAGCAGACATCAAAAGACATATTACCATCATGATTCCTCCTATGCAAAACAAAATGGCACCAGCAATCTTGCATATGTCGAGAGCATGATTAAACCTCATTGCATGACTATCCACAAAAAGCAGGTCATCTTCCCCAAAGGCCTCCATTTTTGGTGAGGTGACATAGCCAACAGCAATCACTATCAGGCCAATAATGAGGACTAGGGTTCCAGACATGAGTCCAACCTGAAAGAAAAAAACATGACTGCAGAATGAAATTCAGTCATCAAATGAGGATAACATCTTTTATATCTGAGGTCTGACCTGGTCTTGGAGAGCTACAGTTCTGTAATTTTTATCAGCAATAACAAATGGTGGATGATCACACTAGCATTTAGTAATTCAACAATTGATTGATCTAATTGAGATATTCATTTGGGAAAACAACAGAAAACCCTTCAGCTCTTCAGAACCAGGTTCAAAAACATCTACTGTATGTACTGTACAGTGCTTTCAACCCATTTGATTTTCAACTTAGGGATTCACTCACATATCATAAATGACTTTTCAGGTGGCACAGTGGCATGATGTTTAACACTGTTGCCTTGCAGATGTTGGGTACTCAGTTTGATTACAGACTGAACACCTTTTGTGTTGAGTTTGCATGTTCTCCCTGTGTTTGTTTTATCCAAGTGTTCTGGTTTCCTTCCACCTTCCAGAGACATGCTAACTACAGCAGGTTAATTTATACCTCTACATTGTCACTGTGTTCTCATGTGTGTGTGTGCCCTGCAATTGAGGGCATGTAATTTTTTGTCCTGCCTTGTTCCCTGTGCTAACAGGAAATGATCTACTGTACTGTAGGCTACTGCAACCTGTCTTGGGAATAATAATCTTCTGATAATTAATAGAATCTTTAAGTTGTAGTTTATACCATTTCTATGTTCCACTCTACTGGACCTATCTGTCATAGAATACTGCTGAAAGGATATAAAGCAAACTACTGTTATCTTGTGACTTTTTGCAGTATTGTAATATAACAGTGGGGGAACTTTCCTTTTTTCCTTGCAGTTCCTTTGATAATTTTATTTAGGTAACAAAAAATGGAAAAAAAGGAAAGACAAATATGTTTGGATAAAACTCAATGAAAAGTAATTTAAGTAAATCTAACTAATTATGCTTATTTTCATAATCCATACAAGTAAAATGAATTCAGGTGAGAGGACTTCCTACCTTCCAGAGAACAGAGCTCCACCGACTTGGCGATCTCTGAATCTGAAAATCTTCATCACGTTCCCAGATGGAGGCTGTGCAGTCCTCATAGAACTGGTGCAAGTACGAACGGACTCCATAGCGCTGATAATGACTTTCTGCTGCACTCTGTGCTTGCTCAGCATGCTCTGACCCACAGATCTCTGAGCAAGAACTCATTCTTCACATCTGGAACATACATGGAATCAGAAAATCACAGTTTCCCAGGCATGCTGAGAAGATCTTCGAATAACCTTCACTACTTCTCTGCACAGAGTTTTAAAATAATCTTTATAATAATCACAACCATGTCTTCCATAATTAACAATGTGTAAGACTACAAGAGCTGACAAAGACAAGATCTTAAACATTCATGATAAGGCTGGCCTTATTTCATTGGATAAAGTCAAGGTTTCCCTCCAATGATTCTGAGCAACAGAGAATGGCACACAAACATGAAAGTGTGAAACAATCATCCTTTTTGACAAACAGTCAATATACTGTTTAATGAAAAGTTCAATAATATACTGTTTGGTTCCATATATAAAAAATGTTATTCCCTTTATTGCACTAATATAACATTTAGCTCCAAATATTGAGGTATTACAATATAATTAATGGTGAGCTAAACAATTTCTCTAGAAGTACTCAGCAAGAAAAAAGCATGCTGTGGAACAAAACATTTATATACAGTATACAGTATATCATATTTTACTGAGACATAATATTTCTCAATATTATAATATAACCATGAAATATTATAGAAAGTGTTTTCTTTTAATTACAAGATCACAAAGATAAGCAATAGCAATTGCCCACTCCTTAAATTATCTAAAACAATGTTGTAAAGCAAAAGTGCATCCATATTAGGCATTTGTAGTTCACTGTCAAGTGCCTAAAACATTACTCACAGCAGTTCTACTTTTCTTCAATCAAATTTAATTATGTTTATGGCATTTAACACCTTCCTTGAGACCTAGCAATCAATTATTCAAGAAATTACAGCTGTTCTTTGACTGAATTCCAAAAAGAGATACAAAAAGCAAAAGAGGGTTTAAAAAGAAGAGGAAACAATGTAACCCATCTGTCTTACAGGTTTGCTTGAGCATTATTGTTTCTAGAGCCACACCTAGATGCTTCAATTTTAAGGATTTTTCTTAAAGGATATCAGTGAATCAATGACTACAACTCCATTTTGTAATTTTGCACAGCAATCTATATGTTGTATTCTAGGTTCTCCGCTTCAACTTTCAGTTTTGACTTTGAAATGGAATAATTTAATAAAATGTCCTCAATATCTTCCATTCTTTCCAGTTTCTGGCTATACAACTTTAATATGATTGGGAGTTTAAGTAAAGGTAATCTATATGTAGATATACAATATAACTTTGACATTACAATATGTAAGCAACATGATAGCTTATGAAAAAAGAAAGATGCAAAGAAATTACATCTTACATATTTTTATGTATAGCTACTGTACCATGAGCAATAACATCCTCAAAACACCACTGCGCTGTTTTATAATTTAATTGACATGTGCTTACTAAACAACAAAAATATGTACAGTAATAAATCAATCCATCTTAGTCACTACTTCCTTGTGACACTGAGGCAGTGCAGAAAAGACTTGAAAAGCTATTACACAATGATACGCTCTGCTAGGTCTGCAGACCCACTACTGGTAATCAAATCATGTCTTCAAAAGGATAGACATAGATGTAACAAGTGAATTTTATCTTAGGAATTATGATAATCTATCTAAGACACTCAAACTGCTTTTACCAGATAGCATAAGAACTCAAGTACAACCACATAAACAAAAATAAACAAAATCAACCATGTCAGATCTTGTAGTTTACAAAAAATTTGTTAATGAAAGCATTTGCACCTCTTAGGTTTTTTTTTCCCCTTTTTGATAAAATACATTCCATACACAAAGAACAATGTTTCACAGTGCACCAAAGGTTTGGAATGAAATTATAGGTTTTCTAAACAAAGCAACACATAACCTTCCACTGCAAAATATGCTTGTGAAAGTACAAATTATTCAGTTTATTCTAGCAAAAACAAAACATTAATATGTTCAGGCACACCTGTATAAACTAAACCAGAAGATATCATGTGATTAAAAAAATGCAGGGCGATTAACACACACATAACATTTAATTGAAATTAAATACTGTAAATGTCAATGTCAGAACAGTGCTTTCGTCAAACGTCTTAGACAGTTACATAAATTGAAAAAAGGGTTCGGAACAGTACAGTACGTTTCTACACAGCTTCTTTACAGAACGCTCTCCATGGTTCTGAAACGTCTTTACTATTTGCTGGACGTAATCAGTGACGCCAAAGCATTGCTTATCCCAAGATAATGGTCAACACTAATGAAGTCTACTGCGAAGCGACAAGGACATACTGTAGCTTACACATAAGTGCAAGACTATATATTTAACGCGTTGCTTCAGATTGACACATACAACGCCAACATCGTACAAATAATCCCCTTAAGTGTTAATGAAAAACGTAACCTTTTCAGTAAGCAGTAAGCAATGCCTTTGTCCAGTCTCCTGACATTTATGTAATCCAGATCGTACAGTACGTTTATTATACAACCGAATTACACGCGAATGCAAACATTTCCCTGTATAGAAAGCGTTCCACAAAATATCGAAAGCTTTTTGGAAAATAAAGCCACTTCAAAGATAAAGTCAGGAAAAGTGTCGCTTTACGATAGTATCTTAAGCTTATCTAAATGCATTTTAATTTCAGACGAAAAATACCTGTCATTACCAGCCCGGAGAGTGATATCTCGCTGTTTCTCCCTCACTTGGGTCCCATCACTCTGCGCTTCCCCTCATAGAGAATCTATGATTTACATTCACTCACTTGCAAGACCCGGTTGCGCAGGCGCAAAGCGATACTGCCAGCTCATCGTGGGTGTGAATCAACAGTGAGTTGACGGTGAAGTTTAGCGTTTAGGAACAACTCTTTTGCACGTCGAGGGCGTATTAATTACAAAACAATCTTCACATTGCGTTTTTTTCTCTGCCATCTGTGATGACTTACAAATCGCCTTGAAATTACACCCTGGGGAATTCATTACGACTTAAGAATTCAATATTCACGTTCAGTTCGCTTTTTTAATTCTTCAGATTCTGAAAAAAAATTAAAATATTTTTTTTTCTGAAAAAAAAAAACAACAACATTGGAAACTCAAACGTATTAATGATTATGTAGCCTCAATCTAACCCATTCTGAATCTAGCCTGTGGGTAACTGCTTTTAAAATAGCCATAGTGCAACCAATAACCCGTGTGGCCAGCAATATATAAACTCACTAAATAAACATTAAAAAAGGATCAAAACAAAATTAACTCTCATGTCTTTTTAAATTAATTGTCTTGGCATTAGAAGAATCCTACCTCTAGAAAACAAGAAAAGTAAACATGAATAGGTACATTACTTTGTCCACTGAGCTAAAGTGTCTAGTTTATTTATTCTTAATTAGACTGTGCAATTTATGAACATTGCTTTACAAACTTATTGACTCTCCCTATAATGTCCCATTTTGTGAAAATACAAAATGATGCATGCACATTTGTATCCTTAATATATTGTTAAAAACTGGAATGCTTAAACTGAAGACTTCCAAGGGTAACTGATGTAACAGTAAATGTCAGCAAAAGCATAAATATTCAGATCCTTAAGATCAGTATTTGGGGGAGGCACCTTTGTCTGTTATAACAGCTGTAAGTCTTTTGAGCAAGTTTCTTTCAACATTGCACATCAACTCAGGCTAATGGGAGTTGCTTGGCAATCACTGATAGATAGCAATTTCCAAGTCTTTGCACATATTTTCAATATGAGTCAAGTCAGAATTTTGAGCCACCCAAGGACACTTTCTTATTCTTTAACTGCTTTAGTGTAGCTCTGACCTTGTGCTTCAAATAGGCTGATAATCATCTCATAATCTGATAATCAGCATTATTCTGCTGAAAAGGTCCCAGTTTTAGGTCTGAAACTGGTTTTCTTCTAAGATTTGTACTGTAAGTACTTTGCTCCTCCTATGTTCCCATCAGTCTTGACAAGGCTCTTAGCCATCCTTGCTGATAAGAAGCAGATTAATGCTGCCACCACCATTCTTGTCCATTAGGGTTGGTGTTGACAGACTAATGCTTTTTGCTGTTTTCATTGTCATATGTAACTGTTTGTATTTAAACAATTTGATGTAGATGTCTTGTCTTCCCACAAATTCTTCTGCCACAATGTTTGCAGTATCATTCAGGTGCTTTTCTTGCAAATTTGGTGTGGGATATTTTCTTGCTTAGTTGCATACAGTATAAGCCCTTTGGTGGAGTAGTGGGATATTGTTGAGCCATTTATATTTTCTCCCATCTCAGCCATTGAACTCTATAATTGTTTCAAATTTGCCATTGGCCTTGTCTGGCTGTTCATTTTGTAGGGATGGCCTGATCTAGGCAGTGTCTGATCACCTTCCACTTTTTAAGGATCAACCTCATCATGCTGAAAGAGATATTAAGGGTCTTTTGCAATACCCTATAATGATCTTTTAATACTGTACCTGTCTCCTGAGCCGTTCCTTTAGACAACTTTATGCCTGACTTTATGCCTTTTTGAAGGTTCCTTGGTCTTCATCGTTCAGTCTTTGCTTAAAATTTGAAATTCACTATCTGACTGAGGGATCTTACAGAGACAGTTGGTTTAATTCTGAAAACATGGCAATAATATGTGAAATAATATATACAATAATTAGTTCAGGTGGGTAGCTGCGTCAGCATGCGTAGGCTGCAAAGGACAATATATACAATAATGTTATACACAGACAGAAACCACTCATCTAATTGTGTGTCTGGCTAAGGTAATTTTATACACCTCAATTATTTTAGGTTTGCATTTGCCACACTAGAGGGTTTGAATACTTTTGCAATCATGGATTTTCATTTTGCTTTGACATTAGTTATATCTTTGCTTTTCTCTTTGCTTTTTGCTTTGAATGTGTGGAATACATTGTGTATATAACAAATATTAATTGCTACTGATTGCTACAGTGTCATTACTGCAAACTTTAAAGCAACAAAATGAGTCACATTTCTCATTTTGTAAAGATGGCCTGCACCAGAAACACTGTGGAAATAATTCTGAAAAGAATGGAAAACTATTTTAAATTAAGCCTAAAAAATACAGATTTTAACAATATTGTACAATGAAATGCATACATATATACATACCGTATAGTCATTTGCATGTCTAATTGGGGGCTAACCATACAATTTAAATAGAAAAATCAGTGTGAATATGCAGTATGTACAGTATATCATTCAATCCAGTATTGGGGGTAATTATGGAAACAGAGTACTAGGTGGGTAATAAGGTACATATGAAAGAAGAATATCTTCTGTAACAAATGTTCCCTGATACAGCCTTTTCTTGATAGAGAACAATATGATTGATTGATCTACAGTAATTGTGCCATACCAAAACTAGGGCTGTATAAGCATATGAAGCAATATGATTTTAGAGTTAGAAACTTCTGTTGAAGAAAGTGGCTCTTGGAAGGTAACTATACAGCATAAGCCTAAATCATAAGCATTAGCATAAAGAACTAGAACTGTTTAATAAAGAAAGCTAAAAGAACATTCTCTTCAGAGAATTCAAAGTCTGAAATTTCCGGCAATATAAGAGACTTCTTAAGTTCAATCCCCCTTATTCTGAATGATTTATAGCACTAAAATTATTAAGTGTAAGCAGAAGGAACAATCATAAATATATGAATAGGTAAAAATTTTTAATTAACTTGCCAATGAAGCTAGCATAACCTGAAGCAGCTGAAGTGATTTAACAAACTTGTAAAAACTGGAGGGAGAACCAGCCAAGGGGGTGGGGAGATGTTGGCCGAAAAGATTGTTGTACTGTAGGTCCCCCAGACCTTGTAGTATGGCGTGGAGGACCTATGGACATCAAGTGTTTAAAGCAGTGTCACTGCACCCTACATATTGTAACCTTTAATACTATTTCTGGGAAATTAAAAAGCCAGGGCTGAGGCTGGACCAACCCTAGTGTTAAAACCATACCACCATGATTTGGTCCGTAATGCATTTTTGCCTTATAGTAACAGATTCCCTTGTAACCTTGTTTTTTATTCACTAACTATAAGGAAACCTTTTTGAACTACTGGAGAGCCAACCCCCTTCTGCCTGCAACCAAATGGGAAATTCTAACCTTCTTTCACTGGTCTAACAATAACCTTGAACTAGCCTGACACCACAACTATATGAGCAGACATTTACAACTGTTTGTGCTAACTTTATTATAGAGAGAATGCTAATTGAACACTACAAATATTGCTAAGTCTTTTCACCTCCTGAAAATGCCTATACCTTTTTTCTCTTGATAGGGTCTCCAAGTTGCACATCTGCAGTGTGATGTCAAATATCAGGTGAAACATGGCTACACCATTACAGGCACACAGGAGAAGTAGGGACTGAGTAGGCTGTGGGAAGGGGGTAATGAGTGAGAGAGGGGAAGTGTTGAAGAGCTAGTGGATTTTTGAGATTTTAGAGATGAAAAATGAAATAAAGTTTTTGGAGAAAAAGAATGTGGAAGCTGGAGAGGGAGTTTGAGAAGTGAGGAGATTGTATACAAGAGGTTATTAGGAAATATTGATAGAACAGTGAATGATCGTTACAGAAACATTTTGCAAAATGAAAGAAGAGAGCAATCAAGATCCAAGACAAAGGGCAGGTTCAAACTTTTAGCTGAGCACAGCTTAGTTCTGCTCAAGTGGATCACAGAGGAGAGCCAAGGATGGGAAGGTGAGGACTATGCAAGTAGAGACTTGAACAGACAAAGTGCAGAAATAAAGAATTTACAGTAGCTAACATAATCCAGTGTTGATGTTCAGAGAAAGAGTCAAGCGTCTAGTACAGATGACGGCAACAGCAAGTTGTAGATGAGAAAAAACATGATGAAAAATTAATGCATTTAAGACATTAATGCATTTTTTCATTATTAGCCACAGTACTGCTGTTTTAGTATAGCATTTTACTCTTACCTGGTTTTGTTGAACTTCCCAAGTCTGAAGGCTTCCTCAGAGATTTGTTTTCAAATACTGCTATGCCTTAAGTGATTTTTTAAAAGTGCAATGATGTAATGTATATTAAGACAAAAATACTCCACATAATGAGAGAATAACCTTATGAAAACAAATTCATTTGCAATATCACTTTCTTTCAAATCACATTCCTGAAGGATATGCTATTTTTAGATCTGTCCTATTGACGTAGTCTATGAGGTTAGTATTAGTCACTCACACTGACTATAGTGGATTTAGGCAGTGGGGGAGTGTTGATGAAATAGGATACACATGGTAGTGGGTAGTGACTTAACATAAGGATACAGATGCAAGAACTTTGATTTGAAAAAGACTGAGGCATCAATTAACTGCATTTGCAAATGGTTTATTCATATTGATTTGATGATATGAAAAGGTTTTCTCTTCTTGTTAAACAATGAAGTAACGTTTAAAAATTCAGTAAGGGTAAGACACAACCAGTATGTTGAAATATATAAAAGATATGGCTTGCAGATATTGCAGACCACAAGAGTAAATAATATTACTTTGTGGATAAATAAAAAAGCATATGCTATGTTAATTATTATATTACATATTAAGGTTAATATACTTGAAGTGACCTGCTAATTCTCTAATATATATATTCATTATCATATTTCAGCGGGTGAAGCCTGGAATATCATTGTGAGCATAACTTCTCAATAGGTGTTTCATAAATATTTTATTCATTCAACAAATCATTCAGTGTGTCACGCATCAAAGAAGATAAATGTTTTCATAGTCATCTGAGAGCTGTACAC